ATACGGCACTTTCCCTGGTAATGCTTCAAAAGTTTTTGGAAAGCTCAGAACATCTCCTGTTTTTTGGCTGTGAACTCTCACCTGAGAAGTAGCACGAACGTTTCTGAGAAGCACAGAAGGGTAGGACAGTGCCTGGCTGCCATGGCCGCTACCGTAGGGACACAAAACCTCCTTTCTGCATCTCACAGGCCCTTTGCTGATCCTGTGGATGGTAATGCTCTTCTGCTCAGGAAAATGAGCAAACTCTCTCAACTGCTCCTCCCTTCCCAGGAGCCACTCTAACCACCGTAATGACAACCAGGAAGCCCTAGAAGACTACGGATTTTGTTACAAGCCTGCTATAAATCCCTACAAGTTTTCTGAGCTGCATTATCCGCATTTTAAGCCCCTTATTGGTGTAAGGGCATCCCAGCACAGCAGTTGTATTGCTACACTTACTGAGTTTGAAGCTTGCGAGACTCAAGCAGGGAATCCACAGATGCAGGCACTTTGCCTGATAACCTGCCTATTCAGAAGATGATGGTAAATGTGTCTCTTCTCTTTGACTCTCCAATAACCAGTTGTCCCCAGTATCACTCCTTGCAAGTCCTGTTGTATCACCTATGGGTATGAGTTCCAAGCACACAATGAGGTGATTCTCAAAGATCACAAAGAGGGAAATCTTAATTCAGATTTATTTTGCTGAGCTTTAACCTTTTATTTTATATTAATGGGTCATTTTAGAAATAGCCTTAATTTTCACTATTTGAAGATGAAAAATAGATGAAGGGTAGTCATAGTCATGAATATGTTGAATAATAAAGGGCTCATATGGTTACATAGCACTGTTATTAGTTAATACTCAGAATAGGCAAAACTACCTACCAGTTGTAACGACTGATGAATGAAAGATAATGACAATATATTTGATTGATATATAATGTTCTATCTACTGAGAAAACTATTAAAAGAAGGAATAGAGTAGAATTAGATTAAGAATTTGTATCCCCTAAGAAATCCAGCATTTGCCTTTGTCCTAAATTTGGATGAGAGAATTAGTTAGGATTTCCATGGAATAGAAATTCAAACAGTTTTAATTCAGAAACATCCAAAATACATTATCTTTCATGTAACAGACCCATTCCATTACATTCAACTAATATGAAATTCTTGGTTTCAAATCAGATCTCTCTTAAGCACCAATAGCAGCACACTTCAATATGCCCAAAACTCAGATTCTTTCCTATCTTCACTAGATTGCACCTTCCACAATATTAACAAAGTCAGGTGATGTCCATGGCACATGTTTTTATGGAGGACACTTGCATCATGGAGGTAAATGCAGACTGCTGCTAGAATATAATGGGGACCCAAAGCACAGTTCCCGCAAAGCAATACAATGATAGAGAAATAGGATTAAAATTTTGTCAGACAGCCTAGCTGAACAAAAATGTTTCAACTGAGTTCAGAATTTCTGACTCTGCCTCAAAGTGTGGGAAGTCCAGTGCTGGGGTTCAAAATAACATGCTCAGAGAGAAAGGCCTGTAGCCCAGTGGCGTGTGCTGTCATCTCATCTCAGGTTTTCACCTTTCCATCTCAAGCATTGCCAGTGCTGCAAAGTGGAAATGACACACAGGTTTCCAGGCCTTGATCCTGCCCTTGGGCCATGTAACACAACGTGAGAGAGGTCACAGGTGTGACCCCCCCCATAACCTGTGGGACAGGTTAGGATGTGTTGTGTGATCCTGGCTTAGTTCAGCAAAACCAACCCCTCCAATTCAGCTTGAAGTGAATCAACCGTTTGGATTTTCCTGACTTCTTTTTTTCTCCTATCATCAAAATTTTCCTTGGGGAAATCTGACTTGATAAAAAAGCTGCTTTTCTTTGGAAAAATCCTACTGATGGAAAACTCCCACATAGCTACAACAGTGACCTCAGAGATAACCAGCCATGTCCATGCTGGCTTTCAGCCTATCTTCTCCCCATCACTTGAAAAGCAACAGCCCTCATGCTGTCCAGGACAGCCTGGCCTCACCTGGCTAAGGGGGAAAGTGAGTTGCAGAGCTGTTAGGCTTAAAGAAGGTCTGCAGCTTGGATGTCTGTGCTTCCCACTGCTGTGGCAGCAGCAGCGGGAATGGGGAGGCAAGATCCTCCTGCCTCAAGACATGCAGGTTTTACATGAGTTAATGCAGCTAAAAAAAACAATAGGCAGACTGGGATCATTTGTAGCAGGGGAGGAGGGTAGTTGGAGGGGGGACTTAGCATGAAGCTCTGCTTCATGATCAGGGGTATCTAGATAGGGCTGCAGGAGTCTAATCACCCAGGACAGATTTAGAGCCATTTTATAGCAGCATGCTAAAGTTACCAAACGTAGGGCCACCAGATTAAGTACTCTCATAACAGTCATTAGTTTTTCATCTTTCAATACTCAAGCAGAGAGAAGTGAAGTGGCTGGGCCAAGACCACAAAAGCCTGATGATGAATTTACCTACTGCATCTCCTCTGAGCACCTGGGAAATCCTAGGGTCATAGCTCCATCTCTGTGATCAAACCATTGAGTCAACACCATTCCCAGATACCAGAATCATGGCAAGTCTTTTGATACTAGCAGGGAATACAATTGTATGACATACACATCTGCATGTTTTCTGCACACCCTATATTGATGTTAGGCGGCCTGGATGGATATTTTCCCACTTCTTCAGTTAGATGCTTAACACATCTACTGAACATAATAAAGTTGCAGGACGAACACCTTTTGGAAATTCTTTTGCCACTTGCCGTCTCTTTTACATGACCCTTAAACCCTTTTCCCCTGCATACCCAGGGCTGTGCTTGGATATCGCATGCACTGCAGCAGAGCCCTAGGAACGGTGCATTTTCTTGACTCAACCAAACTCTGCAGCTCTATTTGCTGCCCACTCCCCTGGGCTCAGCCTTCAGCTCCATAGCTGAAATTGCTCACCCTCAGGCACAGCACACTCGACTCTCCCACTCTTGGGAATAAAAGCATTTTGGTACCTCAGTCGCCAGCCCAAGCTGATGACAGGGTGAGAGAAATCTCCGCTTATTCCTTTCCCCCATCTGTTACACGTTAACAGGCAATCAATTAGGGAACCACAGAGAGAATATGGCTGTGCTGGGGAGAGGGGGTTGGAAGGAAGCACTCTCCCTTCTTCAGATTGTCAGCTGACATATCACCCAGGCTGATAAAGGCTCTAGTTACTGCCACCCTGCATCATTTTCTTTTGATTTTCTCTGAAAACTCTTCAAAAGTTCCTTTTTCTCTCTCTCCAGGTTAGGCTTCTCTTCTGCTCTGCCACAGAGATGCTCCGGTATCGCTCCCATGAAGGGTTAGTTTTTCAGTCTCTTCCTATATAAGGAGCCCCTAGGGCTTTGCTTCAGAGTACTACCCTGTCCCTCCTTTAGCACCTGAATGTGCCAAAAAGAAACACTGGGAATGGGTCCAAGTGCTGGAGGAGGGACAGAATCAGTGTCAACAGTCAGAAGTCCAAGTAAAAGTTCACATTCAATCACAGGAGATTCAGCAATGACAAATCACAGAAATCCTGCCGGGGAACAGGCCAATGCCCTAGAGATGGCCATGCTTTCCACACAGCATAATAAAGAGGAAGAGTCAGTGGGGCAATACAAAGCGATTATTTCCACAGCTGGACAATAGTAAGGAGAGACACCTAGAATCTAAGAAATTAAGCTAGAAATAGTGAATTCTGCAGAAACCTGGGCTGAACTGAACCCTGTACTGCTCCCTCCACTCCAGAGTTGAACATCCCCAGTGACGGAGTGTAATCAGGTCCATTCAATGAACAAAAATAAAATGTGTGCTCTCCCCACACGTGCATTTCTTTCATTTCACAGGAGACAAGGAAGTGTTGGTGTGGTGGATTGACCCCAGCCAACAGCCAAGTACACACACTGCTGCTTGCTCACTGGACATCTGTCCCCACCATGGCTGGGTAAACTCAATACACTTTCCACTGGAAGGTGAATGATCCTGTCCCTTTTCCAGTTAGTGTAGGAAATAAAGGGAGTATCTGTACGTCCAGGCATATTTGCTCACACGGGGCCTGCTTGTGTAAGTACACCCAAGCATCCATGGATATTGGAGCTTGCCTGGATGCACTCACACTTTTGACTCACACTGTTGTACCTGCGTGTGTGCACATCTGCAGCATACCTTTGGCAGTCCGGACAAAGCCATACACCTCATATGTGAATTGTACATGCAGAAGCAATGCACTGCAATTCATCTACACATACACGCACTGAGATTTTCAAAATCATCTGAGGAATTTCTCATCCTTAGTAAGACTGACAAGAACTGGGTAGCTCTACCTCCTTCAGTGCCTAAATTTTTTATCTTCATAGAAGTTGCATCTTAATGAAAAGGGTTAGTGGAGCTGGAGAAGGAGGAACACAGGATTGCCTCTCATCCAAGTGCCCTGTCCCGCCTTGTGGTGAGGTCTGTATGGAGTCCATGGCCACAAATTAAGACTGGCGGGACCGTGTGAGAACCTCTCTACTCCTGCAATGCTGGAGCTTTCACCTCAAGGTGCAGACATCTCTAAAGAGATGCCATCTCTAGGCAAGGGCATCCACTCTTCAAATGGGCCTTAAAACCACCTTTAGAGTGCAAAGCATTTCCTTTCCAGGCCTCACTCTACTAGCAGCCCCATTATCAGGGTATCAGTGCCACCAGCAGAGGCAGGAAGATCCACTAGGCCAGATACCCAGATCTGGTAGCCAGGCAGGCTAGGAACTTGGCAAAGGTTCCTACCACCACAAAGCCTAACTTCACGTCAGGTGGATTTGGAAGGACCAGAGCTGGGCAGGAGGAGAGAGGAGGCATACAAAAGGATGGAGGGTTAGGTACATTACATTCACCCTCCCTTGCCCCCTTTTATATGACATGGAAACACTGCAGTCTCAGCAATGTCTGGGACCGTCTTCCTTTTTTGCTATGGAATGCATGTCTCAGTTTCCCTCCCTTCCCACCATACCTTGAATAGTCCTCTTGAAGAAGGCTTTGCACGCCTCACAGGAAGCCACGCCGTAGTGGTACCCAGAAGCAATGTCCCCGCACACCAGGCACAGCCGCTTGGGGATTGCATTGAGCATGTACTCGCACTTGGTGGGTGAGTCCTCCATGATGGCACTGGCGCAGTCATCGTAACGCTTACGGCAGGACCCACTGCCAATCCCCGTGCCATTGAACATGGGTGGTGAGTCTAGGCCATTGGGGTGGCCACCCATGGTGATGCCGTAGCCACCGCTAGCGTCAGAGGAGCCGCTCGGGCTGTGATGGCTGATGGCGTCGATGCCAGAAGATGGGCTGGAGGGCTCGGTCTTGATGAAGGACCCACAGCTGGAGGAGAGGTGCCGCTCCTCCGTGGCCATTCTGCCGAGCAGCCTGCAGGGAGAGAGCAAAGGCACTCAGCGGCCTCCTGGCCAAACCCAGCTCCAGGTTGGTCAAAAGAGAGCCCTCCTTTTCCCACCTCAGTCCAACTCTAGTTGGCTCAGGCAGTTCAACCCGCCCCCAGGTACTTCTCCTTCAGGAATATCAGTACAATTCACTAAGAACAGCCCGCCTACTCCCCACAAACTCACACTCGAATAAAGTCAAGGCTATTTGTGTAGATCACCACTTCAGGCTGTTCACAGGCTGCAGTGCTGGGAAGGGGCATCAGTGCTGATGAGGCACAAACTACCCAGAACACAATCTACCCCTGGGACAGTAGAAAGACATGAGCCTGTCTGTGGCAGACCAGGTGAAAAAGATGTTTGGTTAGTTTAAGATGCGCTGCCCTGGCTCTAAGCAAAAAGTTCACTAGCAGACCCTGCAGGAAGGACCTGCTCAGATTGGATTTTCATTTGTAATACAGAAGTCTTTAATTAGTTTTCATGTTGGATTCCTTCCCCCCCACTTCACTATCATCACTAAAAGGGGAGCTTAGAAACTGAAGGAAAATCATCTGATCAAAAGTTTCCTCCAGCTTAATCTTAAATCTTAATCTTTCTTCTATTTACTAGCATAAGGCTTTTGCATGGAGACACTTCTCTCAAATTCCCACTTCTTAGAGAGAGGGTTATGCTCTTAAGTATATAGAAAGGACTGCATCTTTACCAAATTTGCAAGCTTTTCTTATTTATTGTAGTCACAGATAGTCTTACTCCTTATATAAATGTTCAGGCTTTTTCCAGAACACTGCTAATTTTTATGATATCTTACGGCAATGAGTTCCAGAGATACATAGTGTTCATACACTTGTGCAGTGTATGAACAAACAAAAAATCCCACTTGTATTTGCCCATGCTGTATTTGCAGCCTTTCAGGCTCCCTGAACATCTCCTGACTTTTCTTCTCAGGAAATGTACTTTTGCCACGTTCTCCTCATTCAGCTCTTCATTATCTATATAATTGTTCTTCACGCAGAAGTTTTTGCAGACCTCTTATCTGCTTCATCATCCGTCTCTGAACTTCCGCTAGACTGGCTATTTCTGTTCAGTCCAGAACAGAGTTCAATGAGCCAGCTCCTCAGCAGCGTGAAACTGGCACTGCTCCATCACTTCTCCAGCTGAAGGTCTGGACAGTAGTCAAGACAAAGGCATGCCATCAATTACCTACTGACGTTACCATATTTTCAATGTTATTTTCAGCCTATCTATTATATAACTCCTTACATTGTTTGCTTCTTTTCTCTTTAAATTAAAATCTAAATTGTTACCATTTCTTCAACAGAGAATATCAGCAAGTTACTTACTGCAATCCTCAGATCTTTTCCTGAGTTGCTACAGTTAATTGAGAATCCATTAAGATGTATGAAAAATCAAATTAATGCCTTCTGGTGTGCAATGTTTTGCAATAGTCAACAGTGTATTTCATCTGCCACTGTGCTGTTCATGCACCCAGCTTTATTAGGATCCTCTGGAGTTCTTCAGTCTTCCTTGATAATTTGATGTCATCTGCAGAGTCTCACTGTTCACCCTCTTCCCAGATGATTAACACATGGATCAAACACCACAACACTGATCTTTGTGGGTGAGTTTTGTAGCCTTTATCGTGCTGAAAATTGACTTCTCTTTCTTTTCTGGGTAGGGTGTGTCTTCCCTTTCTTTTCCGTGTCAGACACTTTTTAATTGATAATAGTATTAACCTGAGAGGTTAAATTTTCCCTTCGGCAAGATAATTTGTCAAAGGCTTTTAAGAAAACCTAACTACATGCATTTTCCTGATGATATGTCCAAAGAATTCTGACTGACTGGGGATGCTTGACTTTTCTTCTTGGAAGCTCTGCTGGTTTAAAGTTACCATACCATGGTCATGTGGGTATTTTCTATTTCTATTTCAGTTTCAGCCTATTTACCTGGTATTTGTGGCAACTCCTGCCAAGAGGTCAAACCCGTCAGGGGACAGGACAAAACATTCTGTGATACAGCAAGGCTGGAGTGCACACATATATATATCACATCTGTGTGTCTGTTGATATGAATGCACGTTTGATATGCAGCAGCTTCACAGTCCTGCATCCTTATGATCTCATTTGACCCAAGTATCTCCTAATTTTCCCTTCTCTGTTTCATCCTCGATGTTTGACCTCATCTCCTATCTCTGGGATCGATTAGCCAAGTTTGTTATTTGGCAAGACTGTTGACCTTGAGACTATGGGCAGGCATCTCACGTTCCTCGGCTGCTTTGTCTGGTGTTACTTGAGAGGAATCCAGAGTTTGGTCCGTCTCAGAGACAGCGTGATGAGTTGATGAATGCCCACACTTTGCCCAGAGGGTCACACTAGACCAGAGGTCATGGAGCAGTTACAGGAATAATTGTTGCAGGTGCATTCATCTTTAATCCCGCAGGGCACCTAGACAGATTGCAGATCTCCTGGTGTAATGCCAGCTGACTGTGTGGAGGAAGATGAAGCTTTGCTAGCTGAGACCAGATCGTAGCATCTCATAGCAAAGCTGAAAGCTGTTGTGCTGGCCAGATTCTGGAACCCTTCCCTACCCAAGAATTGTGTTTGTAGTAAAAACCTGAAGATCACTGGGCACCATAACATGAGATTAGGGTCAAAATGGAAGGCAACCCACCGTAAAACACTGTTCTGCACTGAGGAACTCCACAGTAAAAGGAGTTGGAGTTGTAATGTTAAGGGCAGACAGAGGACAACACTATGAAAAAGGCATGACAAGGAGGTGAGCTGTACTGTCAGACTCAGTCAGCGGAGTTCAAATCCCAGCTTCTGTCTCTTAAAAAGCCCAAAATTTAGAGAAGACCTCAAGAGGACCCACTGAGGTATTTCCCTCCACTGAAAAAAAAAAAAAAAAAAAAAGAGGGGAGATCAGTCTCCTAGGACCAACTCACTTCTCAACTCACAACCTCAATTAAGGAGCCTTCCTCCCAAGACAGGCAAACAGTGACTGTCTGAAGGCGAATCAAGGACAGCAACAAACCCCCTGCATCCTTACAGCTGAGGGTGCTCCTGTTCCCTTTCAGGGGACAGTAATACATAGTGAGTTCTGGTTAGATGTGGAATGCATGCTTTAGAGGCAAAAGTCCTTAACACCAAGACAGATCAAAGATCATAGCTAAGGTGACTCCAGCCATTCCAGAGCTTGTGTTTTTCTTTTCTGGCCTCTGGAACAACTTGCATAGTTGATTATTGCTGGGCAGCACACACTGAGTTAAGCCTCACCAGCTCTGACTTTCTGCAAGTCTCATGGAGATCCCGTGGTGATTTTTAAACAGACTCAGAGTGTCCCCTGGCAATGAAATACAACATCTTGAACTTCAAGAAGAACAGCTAAATGTTTTTTGCAAAGAGTTCAAAGTGATGAACAGCCATTTTGCTCAGCTCTAGTTACCTTAATAGGCATGTAAAAGGAGAGAGACTTGATCCAACTCTCCTCCGTGCTGGCACAGGAAACTCCGTTACTATTTCTGTGCCCATGTAACAGGCTTAGAGGTTCTAAACATTTCGTTCTTTTCACCTTTCCTCATCATAGGTCATTCCCTCTAATCCCTTTAGCATCTTTGTGGCCCTTCTCTGGATTTGTTCCAACTTGCCTGGGTCTCTCTTGTAGCAAGGTGCCCCAAATCGCACAGTGCGATGCCACAGCACTACAGGGGAGAGTCACGCTGGAAAGCACACAGCCGGGCAGACATATGGACCAACTGAGCAGTAGCTTTGCCAGACATCAGGTTGCACATCAGCTCACATCATTTGATAGCCACTGTCTCACCGGGACCTCTCTGAACATAAGCTGCTTTTGCCACCGTGCTCTGAACAACATGAAATTTGGAGATTCTCCTTGTTCCAAAGTAGTATCATCTTTAAGTCACACACTGCTAATTGCCACTGGTTTTACCAAAGCCTGCTAATAATGCTAATTTTTTCAGCCTAGCTCTTTTTTCTGCTCTGATTTTTTTCTAGTATCTTTCAGTTGTGTCAAATGTAAATTTGAGAACTATTCCTTTTACATTTTCCTCCAGGTCACGAATGAATATTTAAAATCAAAACACTGCCCTTTTGGACACCACCTTTGCAGAAGGATAAAGAATGTCTCTAACCCTTCTGTTTACACTCTGTCAGCTAATCCATGATTCATTTCACAGGATTTGTATCAAAACCAATTTGATCTAATTTCCCTAATAAGATCTTGCACAGCTTTGTGTCAAAAGCCCATGCATGGTCCAGGGACAGTCTATCCATTGCATTCCTTTGTCCCACTAATTATTTAATTGTATCAAGAAAGGTTATTGTCTGCTGTACTCCTGTTTCATAAACCTACTGCTGTTTATCACTAACAATGTTGTTAGCCTTTACGTGCCTGTAACTGCCCTCAGACAAGCATGCTCTGATCTCAGTCATTCTGGATGTAAACACGCAGGTTCAGACCAAGTCCAGATTGCGCTTTAGGTTTTTATCCATTAGCGTTATCTCCCTCGGGCAGTGATGCTGGGTTAATGTTACAAGTTTCTCCAATTCTTCTCTATCCTTTCGTCTTTCGCTATTCCTCTATAATGGCTGGGCTGCTTATGAGTTTAATGTTCTCTTGAGAACAACAGCAATAATAAGAGAGGGAAAGACTGCTAGATGGACAGGACCAGAAAGGGACAAGAGATTACTGTTATAAAATCAAGGCAGTAAATATTTCCCCAAATTTTTTTTCTTTTAAACTTCAAGGATTACAAGTTTGGGATCCATGCAGATAAGGCTATTTTATTGCACATCCTTTGAGGCTATTTTTGCCAGAAATAATCATTTGTAGCTATGTTCACCTCTTTACCCCACTTCTGGATATGAAAATTACAGGAATTCAGTACTCTCTATCTACAAGCCTTCACCTGACTCAAGAGAAAACACTCACAACTGCTTAGCAAGACAATGTCCTGCTTTGTAACAGAAGGTA